GAGTATTTTTGATACTTTTAATCGCAAAATACGTTAAAATGTGTTAACCAATTTTAAGAAAATGAAGGTGTCATTTAAAATCAGGTGTATGGAGATTTTATACTTAATAAATCAATAAATAAATAAAAAATTGATTTTTAATACATTTATTTATTATAAAGTTTAAGTTATAAATACATTACAATTTATACTATATCAAATTTTTTTTCTTTTATTTTTTTTTAATCCGTAATTTTTATTATTATTATTATTTTTAAAAAAAATTAGTAAATTAATAAAATAAATTTTCAGGAAAAATTATTTGCTTCGATCGATCGAATCACAATGGCATGGCTCCCAGTGCTTCCACGATGACCGGAATAGTTTCTGTTTTCGTTCCCCACAACCTTGCTATTTCAATTTCCAAATTTCTATATTTCAGATTTTTGTCTGCTTCTTTGGCTGTCTCGTGTTTTTTTCTGCCGGCACGGATACTTCAATCAATTTACATCACTTTTCCGTTTTATACCTCAGGATGACATCCGGTTTGTTGGCCGACGGCTAGAATTTTTGATATACTGATGTGAGAATTACGAATGCGTTTTTTAATAAATTTATTTATTGTTTTTTAAATTGTTGCACACTTTTCCCCTCACTCTTTTTGTGTTAACTCGAAACCCCTCTACTCCCCTACCCCCTCCCAAAAAAAATTCAAAAAAAACGATGGAAAAAAATTTAATTTAATTTGGTTGGAGACGCAATGAATTTTTCATTTTTATATATAAATTTATTATTATGGTCACTCTTAAACACAAAAAGGCTCTTATTTTCGGGGTTTTTAAGCATTTATCCCAGGTTTCTACCCGATTCCTTAAAAAAATCGGGAAAATTTCTAACGAAATAAAAAATTTTTTTTTGTTTACGTTTTTTGGCGTTGTTATTGTTTTTGTTTACATTTTTCGGTTTTGTTATTGTTTTTGTTTACATTTTTCGGTGTTGATTTTTTTTTTTTTTTTTTTTGATGTTGAATTTTTTTTTTTTTTTGGTTTGTTATTGTTTTTGTTTACGTTTTTCGGCGTTGTTATTGTTTTTGTTTACATTTTTCGGTTTTGTTATTGTTTTTGTTTACATTTTTCGGTGTTGATTTTTTTTTTTTTTTTTTTTTGGTGTTGAATTTTTTTTTTTTTTGGTTTGTTATTGTTTTTGTTTACGTTTTTCGGTGTTGTTATTGTTTTTGTTTACGTTTTTGGCATTGTTATTGTTTTTGTTTACTTTTTTTGGTATTTAATCGCAAAATACGTTAAAACGTATCAACCAATTATAAGGGAATGGAGGTGTACGGAGATTTTATATTTAATAAATCAATAAATAGATAAAAATTTGATTTTTAATACATTTATTTATTATAAAGTTTAAGTTATAAATATTTTACAATTTATACTACATCAAATTTTTTTTCTTTTATTTTTTTTTTAATGCGTAATTTTTATTATTATTATTTTTAAAAAAAATCAGTAAATTAATAAAATAAATCTTCAGGAAAAATTATTTGCTTCGGTCGATCGAATTACAATGGCATGGCTCCCAGTGCTCCCACTATGACCGGAATAGTTTCTGTTTTCGTTCTCCACAATCTGGCTATTTCAATTTCTAAATTTCTGTACTTCAGCTTTTTGTCTGCTTCTTTGGCTGTCTCGTGTTTTTTTCTGCCGGCACGGATACTTCGATCAGTTTACACCACTTTTCCGTTTTGAATGAACATCTGGTTTGTTGGCCGACGGCTATGGTTTATGATATACTGAAACGAAAGGAAAATTAAAATTAATTAATTGTATAAAGGAAAAACGTTTTTCTAATGCGTTGAGAAAAGAAAAAAAAATTCTAGAGGAATTGGGAGGAGGGAAAGGCGGGAAAACTATAAATGAAAAAAAAAGGAATTTGAAATTTTCAAATGAGAATATTTTTTAGGTCACGTTATATCAATATTCGAAACTAAAATTACTCAAAGGAAAAAATTTAATAATTTTCCTTTTGATGTCTGTCAAAGGAAAAAAATAAAAAAAAATTTTTTTCATGGTTTGAATTACTTTAAAAAAAAAATCGTAAGAAAAAAAAAACAAAAGAGAAAAATTATTTTCAAAATTATTTTTCCGTTTTTTTTTTTTTTTTAAATTCATTCGTCAATCATAGGAATGATTGATTGACTGATTGATTGAACAATCGGGTAACGTATTTATTAATCGTTAGTTAAATAAAAATAATTTTAAATTACGTTTTGACTTTTTGACGAATAAATAAAGTAGTACGAACGTACAGAAAAAAAAGTAAGAAAAAAGAAAAAAAAGGAAGAAAAAAGAAAAAAAAGGAAAAAAAAATGGGAAGGAAAAAAGGTTTAACGCCCCTCCGGAGAATAATTTTGAGGGCTAAAAAAAAAACAATTCAAGGTTTTTCTCATTTTTTTTTTTTTTAACGGATTGATGTGAGAATGAAAAAAAAAAAATGAAACCTTTTTTCCTTTTTTTTTTTTTTTTTTTTTTTTTTTTTTAGTCAGGTATTTTTACACTTACCGTCCTCTGGAGAAAATTTTTTTTTTTAAAAAAAAAAAAATTTTCGATGCGTTTTATGTTATGAAAAGACTTGAAGACATTTTTTCTTTTTTTTTTCATAAAAGTTTTTTTTTTCCTATTAAGCCAATTATTTCATTTAACGATTTTTCCTAACGGTGAAAATTTTTTTACAAAATGTCTTCCTTCAAAAAAAAAAAAAAAAAAAAAAAAAAAAAAACCGCGTAAAAAAAAGAAAAGTTTTTATAAAATACATTAAATTTTAATAATGATATTAATTATTTCTTCTTCTCTTCTTTTTAAATCCTGTAATAATACCTGAAAAAAAAAAATTACTTATTAATATTTCGTAAAATATAATATATGGCTCAACGATTACATAAAAAAAAAAAAAACGTAATAAAAACTTTTATGCTAGGCTGGACACAACGTGAATTTTTTTCCTATCATCATCATCATCATCATTATTATTATTATTATTATTATTATTATTATAAAAATTTTCACTCAATTTTTTAAATTTTTTCACCCAAAAAAAAATTTATTAATTATTAATTATTATAGCTTTTCAACCGTGATTAGATTAAAAAAAACTTTTATTACGATAATTTTTCGTTTATAATAAAATGTTGAAAACGATGATGACGTCATAATCATCATCATCATCATCATCATGAGAAAGTAATTTCTCGTAAAATTGTATATATGATGAGTATTGAACGATTCCTTCGTGTGCCTCTGCGCGTGCCATCATTGCGGCCTGATATTTATTTTATATTAAAGGAAAATATACCTTATAAACCTTTCACAAACATCCTTTTTATATAAATTTTCATTTCCCTTTTTTCCACCGTCGCCATCTTTAAAAAAATAATTCCATTAGATTGTTTTTATTCTTTCTCTCTCTCTCAAGGTTCGTCACGACAGGAAAAAGAAAAAAAAATTTAACTTTTATTTTTAATTAGAAAAAAAAGAAAAAAGGCAGTAAAATAAAATGACGTTTTTTTTTTCTTCTATCTCTTTCTTTCTCTTTTTTTCCATTTCTCTCTCTCTCTCTCTCTCTCTCTCTCTCGCATTTACCTTGTTACTGATAAGAGAGTTGAAAGCGATGAGTTTTTAAGAAAATTAAATTTTTCCTTTTTTTTTTAAAAAAAAAAAACTAATGAATGATCGAAAGCACCTGAGTTTTTTTTAATTTACAACGCAAACATTTTCATTTTTTTCTTACCTTAAGGATGATAAAATGTTGACTTTAAGTTTATATGAAGAAAAAAAAAAAAGTTTTTCGGTTTTAATTACTGGAGAAATTTTTGGAGAAGAGAAACTTAAATAATTATTATTATTATTTTAATTTTTGTATTTCAATGATTAAAAATTTAAATTATTTATTTGTAAAAAATTCATGTCATTAAATAAATAATAAGTAAATTTTTTTTTGTACTGGAAAAAGAATTTTCCAGTTGAAATTTTGAAAATTTTTTTTTTTTTGGACATTTTCATAAATAAATAAATTTTTTAAAGAAATATTAAGAAACAGGAAATGGCTTAAGGGCTTAATAGATATTTTAAACTTCATAAGAAAGATTATAAAATGGTCTTATGTTATGTCTATTATCAGTAAAAAAAAAAAAAAAAAAACTTTGTTTTATCAACTCAAGTCATTTTGCTTGCTTCCAGCTAAAAAAAAAATAAAAAGAAGTTTTTAGCACTTTTTAGTTTTCTAGTTTTTTTCTCCCCTTCCCTCCTCCCTCTCCCCACTCCACCCTCCTTCCTTCCTTCCTTAACTTTTGACAGATTTTTTGACAGTTTAAGAAAAATAATTTTTTCAAAAAAAAATTTTGTTATACAACAAAATAATAGAAAAACTTCTAGAAATTTTTTTTTTCTTCCCCGACGACGACTACGCAAAAAACTAAAAACGAAAAAAAAATTATTATTATTATTATTAATTAAACATAAATAAATTTATTAATATATAATTTAATAAATAAAAATTATGCGTATCGATTTTATTATTATTATCGTTAAAAAACGAATTCGTTTGTTTGTTGGATTTGAAATTTTTTTTCCTTTTTTTTACGTAATCCCTTTTTCGATTCAGTCTGATTATTTTTTTTAATTACATAAAAAAAAATTAATAATTTATTTATTAATCAATAAATTAAATAAAATCAAATAATAATAATAATAATATTAAATAATAATAATAAATAATAATAAATAATAAATTATAATAAAAATAATAATAATAAAATTTATGTATATCGAAAAAAAAAAACGCAAAAAAATTTAGGCAATAATTAACAACGAGATTTTTTTTAAAATTCGGTTTTCGTAACTAAATTAATTAATTTTATTAATATTATTATTTAATTCTAGTATAAAAGAGTAAAAAAAAATTGATTCAGGGCCGAATCAAGGCTTTATTTATAAATATATGTAGGTTTTATATTGACCTTACAAATACATTCCGTTGACTAAAAAATCAGCATCGTGAGCAAATGGAGATTTTCCATTACGTCTCATTCTTTTTCTTACGACTCTCAATCGGCATCCGACTAATGTTATCATAATCGCAGTTATGCACATACCTGAAAATTTTTTAAGATAAAACGAGAAACGTTAGCCGAAAGAAAAAAGTGATGATAATAATAATAATAATAGCACAAACCTAAAGTTAATGATAATATAGCACCACTCGGCCTTTCGTTGACTCCATCAATTTCTTTCATATCGTTTTGAATCATTCTTAAATGTTCTGCTATTCTAGTATCCTCTTTTCGAAAGGTTACTGGAGTCAGTGTTGTCGTAGTCGTCGTCGTTGTCATCGTTCTCGTCTTCGTCGTCGTCGTGGCAGTAGAATGAATTTTATTTGTCGTCAATAAAGTAGGTGATAAATTATCCAGAGTTTTTTTCACGGAATCTTTTTTTTTAGATTCATCATCCAAAATCGGTGATTTATTCATTGGGATTATAGATTGATAATTTTTCTGTTGAAAATTTTCAGAATTTCGTAGTCTGGACAATTCCAGTGATCCCTGAGGATATCTTCCTTTAAGTTGTGGATCTTCATAATAATAATCGGATTGTATCGAACCCGATTGCATTCCGTTTCCGTATAACGAAATAATCGGTCTCTGTTGAATATCATCCACGGCTACAATCGAAAAAAATTATTTTGGAAATTTCCAGTAAACAGACAAAAAAAGGAAAATGTCAACACACTCCATGCTTACCGTGTGGAGGTGGAGGAGGTGGCGGAGGAGGAGGAACTCTTTGCATCCAATTATTTTGTCCAGGATAATAAATAGGACCGGATCCGCTGTAGTAATTGTTATTAGCAGACGATGCTCCGCCATATTTCATGTATTCCGTACGACTCATATCATTTCCGTAAGGTGCCGGTAGTTGACTAAATTAACGGAACAAACAAACAAACAAACAAACAATTTTTTTTTTAAAGCGGAAAAATTACAAAAAAAAAAATGATTCTTACCTTTCTGAATTTTCCGGAGTAAACGCTGAACTTCCTTTACGGTTCGCAACGTATCCGCTTTCGTCTACAAAAAAAAATAATTACCTTATTATTATTATTATTATTAAGTACTAAGTAAACTTAAACTCATTATTATTATTATTTAATTATTTATTATTTAAATTTTAACAAAAAAAAAAATAATAATAATTTCCCGTAAGATAACTGTATAATAAAACGACATAATCACGAGGTAAATAACATAATTAAAACGCTTGCGTTTTTTTTTTGGTTCATTGTCCAAAAAAAAATTCCAGGAAAGGTAATAATTATAAAAAACGCATGCGTATACGCATGGAATTAAATTTATATAAAAATTATAATATACCTTGACGTCGAGGTTGATATCCTTGCCATTGAACGTTATTGATTGGATATTGAACCATTTCACCTTCTCTTCCATAATATCTCGGCTGATTTGGAATTTGCTGTTGAATCGTATCGATTTTTTGACGATTTGTTTCAACGTTTTGCCCCTGCTGTTGCTGCTGCTGTTGTTGTTGTTGTTCAACTTGCTGCGGATAACCTGCGAAAATTTTTTTTTTAGTTTGAAGTTAAAATTGGAGTGCAGGAACGTGTAAAAATAATTACGTACCGAATGGAAAATATTTTAAAGATGTTTGCTGTTCTGGAATTAATTTTCCTTTCAAAATGGTGTCTTTAATTTGTTGAACGGGTTCTGGAGCGGTTGTTGTTTCGATTGTTTTAACAAAATTTTGTGAATTTTCATTTGATATTTTTAAATTTTTTAGTTGATCGTGAAACGTTTTCGGATGAGACACGCCTATAAAAATTTTTCGTTTATTTATTTTATATCATTTTAACATTATTATTATTATTTTGTTAATACGTACCTGATATGGTTGGACAATCTAATTCTGGACCTTCATCACTCCCGTCATTACATTGTGGAATTCCATCACATGCGTTATAAATTGCTATACATTCACCACTTCCTCGACATTCAAATTGGTACCTACTGCATGAACTCTCTGGAAAGAACCAAAAAAAAAAAAAAATTAGAAATCATTTCATTTTTTTTAATCGCACAACAACAACAACTTTTCCAGTTTTTATTTGTTTCCAAAAAAAAGAAAAAGGAGGAGAAAATTATGGAGGTAAAAAATATTTCTGGTAAAAAAATTATTTAAAAAAAAAATCCAACAATTTTACCACCTACCATTTTACCTATATATAGGAAACATTATCGAAAAAAATTCAATCGATTTGTTTTCTCGAAATTATTGATTTAAATTTAATTTTAAAACAAAGTCTCACACGTAGTTGAATTATTGTTGTGTTCAGAAAACAAAACAAAAAAAAGTTCAGGAAATGCAAAAAAAAAAAAAAAAAAAATGGAAAGAGTCTAATGAAAGTTGAACTCTTGAACGTTTAGCCCAAGGCATAGCATTTGGCCTTGGTTAACGGTACTCATTTCATGGTTCGGATGTAAGAACGTCTTCTTCTTCTTCTTCTTCTTCTTCATCTTCTTCTACTCTTGTTTGTTTGTTCTTTTTTTTAATAATTTCTTTCTATTTTCACGAACGTGACGTAATAATAATAATAATAATAATGATACGTAAAATAAATTATTAATAATAAAAAGGAGGGAATATTTTTTGAAATATTTTCAAGGTCAACAAAAAAAAAAAATCAAGTTCAAAATTTTTCTAACAAGAAACGCCATTTTATTTTTTTTATTTTTTCTTCGTGATTTTCTTTTATTAAATGATCACACGCTCGCACACGCACGCACGCACTCACTCTCTTATAATTTGCCCTCATTTATTTAAAATATACGAACGACCTTTTCGATTTATCGATTCGATGTAATTCTATACTACTAGTACCACGAACATTAACATTAAGTCAAAGTTTTTAATTTTTTGTTTTTTTTTTTTTTTTTTTTTTTTCACCGTAATAAAAAGAAACAACGGCGAAGTATCCTTATTACGGTCCTATGTATAACGTACCTAAAGAAGATTATGGTTTGCAATTTATTTATACTTATTAAAGTATTCTCGTTAGAATTCCAAATTTTTTTTTTTCTTCATCTCCTTGTTAACTCGTTCTCGTTTGGCAAAAATCAAAATCATTCGATTGTTGAAATCGGTTGTGGCAAGTCTCGACTATCGTATTCGATTAATATCGGCGGGAAAATTTTGAAATTTTAAAATTTGTGAAAAAGAGAAAAGAAAAAAAAAATTTTTTTTTTTAATAAATGCAGTAATAACAGTATATATACGTTTACCGTAAGTGAATTTTAGTTTTTTGTTTTTTGTCTTTTCTAATTACACGTCGAAAATTCTTTTGTATTTTTAAATTTTTTTTTATGTATGCGAATATCCGGAAAATATCTTTTGTTTTCCACCCAAAAAAAAAATCAAACGATTCGATTATTATCAGTTTTATTATTTTCTTTTAGTGATAACATAGAATTAATCAAACGCATAAATAACGATAATGATAATAATAATAATAATAATAATAATATTTTCATGTATTTATTTAAATAATTAATTTTTAAGAGTAAAAAAAAAATTTTTGACGTTAATCGACCGAATGATTAATGAACAGTTATTGAAATTTAAAAAAAAAAAAAAAATTTAGAAAGTGTATTAATAATAATGATAATAATTTCTTTTTCTCTTTTTTCTGTTAATTATTAATTGATTCATTAACTAATGACCCGAAATAGTAATAATAATGATGATAATAGTAATAATAGTAATAATAACGATAATGATAACGATCATCATTAAGTTGGCATAATAAACGTTCATTAGTGATTTATAGTCGAATAAAAAAAATTATGATGATGATAATAATAATAATAATTTATAAATCGTTTTACTTTTCCCGGGTACTTTGATGGCACCAACTCAACACCATCACCGACACCAAGTTAAAAAAAAAAATCCTAGTCGAACGCCAAATTACTACTTATTTCCACGTTTAAATTAAAAAAAAAAAATTTTTTTTTTTTTTTAACGGTATTTTCATTTAGAAATGATTTTCTTTGTTCTTTTTAAATTGAAATTTTTTTTTTTTTCGGTGTTACGTGTTTTCTTAACTCCCCCTCCTCCTCCCCCTTCTCCTCCCCCTCCCTCTCTCTTTTCGTTAAAAAAAAAAAAAACAATCGAAAATTTCAGTTTTATAATTCAAAAAAAAAAATCTATTTTTTTTTTTCAGTTAATTTTGAAGATTCGATCTGAAAGGAAAATTATATTATTATTATTATTATTAAAATGACGTCGAAACTTAGAAGGCCTCCATTATTCTCATGGACAAGTTCCAGCAGCAACAGGGATTTAACAACTTTTACAAAATGTACAAATAATCCATCATTGGCTTCCAATATCAAGGTAACGTTAAATTTTTTTTTTTTTTTTTTTTTCTTATTCACGGTTTCGTGCGTGTGTGTGCGTGTATGCGTGTGCGTGTGCGTGCGTGCGTATTAAAATTAATTACTTTTGAGTTTTTAACAAATAATAAAGTGAAAGAGATGAATTAAAAAAAAAAAGGGGGGCAAAATTTGCAATTAATGAAAGTGACAACCGAAGGTCATTTAGTATTACTATACTTATTCCAAACTTTCTTTTCCTTAATTCGCTCCTAATAATTATTACTCTGGTTTTTTTTTAAACTTATTACTTTTAAATTACTCGTAATTTTTTTTATTATAGATTAATTAAATAAAATTAATTAATAAAAATTAATAAACGAACGATAACAAAAATTGTTTTTAAGTGTATCAAATCACTCGTTGGTGACATTTTACAAACCCCTTATTAAAAAACTCGAATAAATTTTTTTAGTACTCAACAAACAAACAAACAAACAAACAAACAAAAATAATAATAATTATTTTTCGTGGCCCAGTTTTTTTTTTATTAATATTCTCACTCAACAAACGCAAACAATCGAAAAAAAAAAAAAAACGGGGAGATTTATTTTAAAAAAAGAATGTTTCGTAAGGATTATATGAGAAATAAAAAAAAAATAATAATAATAAACAGGAAATCGTAAAATAATAATAATAATAATAAATGAATGAAATAATAATAATAATAATAATAATAATAATAATAAAATACAAACACGAGTTTATGTTTACGATTTGCATTTGGTAAAAAAAAAAAAAAAATTATTATTAATGTTAATTTATTAACACGTTTCTTAAAAATATTAAACCAGATAATGATTATTATTATTATTATTGATTTCACAGAAAATGAGTATCCGAAAAAAAGTTTTTTTTGGGGGAGGGGAGGCCGTTTTACGCATTAACTCGACACCTGTTTTGTAGGCGGCGTCGTCGTTTTTTTTATTCATAATTAAAACTTTCTCTAATTTCGGCGGTTTTCGTCGATACCACTCATGCTTATGTTGTTGTTCAAGGTTGAACTTTTTTTTTTTTTAATACCAAATTTGAAATGAATTCGATAACGCGAAACTTGAATTATCGAGATCTCGTTTTACGCACACGCACGCACGCACACGCACCTGTAAATAATAATAATAATTGAAAAAAATATTTAAAAAAATGTTTTAAAAACGATTCGCGTGTAATTTTTCTATGCGAATTTTTTTTTTTTTTATTACCGTAATTTTTTTTTTGGTTTTTGATAAATTTATATCATTTAATTTTAAATTACTTTTTTTATTACTCAAATTACAGTTTTTAAAAAAATTTATCGTGTAAATAGAAAAAAAAAAAGAAAAGTTACAGGTAAAAAAAAAAAAAAAAATTTCCGGAGTGTGTTTGTTTGTTTGATTAAAAAATAAAATAAAACGCGTTATCGATAACGTCCTCGTCGTCGTTTGATTTTATCACGTGTCGACTTTTATTTAAAATAATAATAATAATTATTGATAGGGGGGAAGAAGGTGGAAGGGATGAGAAAATATAAAAACGAAGTCAAAATAATAATAATAAATAATAATTAATTTTAAGGGAAATTTATGGGTTGTTGTTGTGATTGTTTTTGTTTTGTTTTGTATTCAATGTAAATTCGAACAAACAACAATTTAAAGGAAAAATAATAAATTTCACATGTTACGTGAACGATTCGTATGCGGGTTTTTTATGGGAAAAAATTTTCTTTTTGTCATTTTTTTTTTCCAAAATTTTAAAGATAAAAAAAAGTATTTCTTATCAGTTTACGTAATAATAATAATTAAACCATAATTATAATAATAATAATTAGTAAATTTCACGTAAAAGTAATAGAAACGAATTCTCATGATGTTAAGAAATTAATTTGATAAGACAAACAAAGCAAGCAAGCAAGCAAGGTCGATTTTTGTTACACGGAATCGTTTGTAGTTTTTTTCCAAATTTATTATTATTATTATTTTTTACGTGGGTATTTCATAACTCGGTTTTCCATACATAGAATGGAATCGGTTTACACGAATTATCAAATACGTAACCACTCAATCATAAATCATAAAAGATATTACTACTTACTGGAACTGTGATTTTGTTTTTCTTTTCCACCTGAAACTGTAGGCACTTTTGTTGTCAAAGGTGATGCTGTCGTCGTCGAATCGATTGAAGGATATAATTTCCTTTAAAAAAAAAAAAAACACGGGCACATTGTGTGTGTAAAACGTTTAATAATAATAATAATAATAAATAAATAAATAATTACCTGAGCATTGTAAGTTCTTCTTCGTGTTTTGTTAATTTCATTCGATTTTCGATATCACCGATTCGAGTGTTAAATGCCAAAACAGCGCTCGTGTAATTTTTATGTTGTGTAAATTTACATTTAAAATCTTCTGGAGAACCGCAGTGAAATAAATAACAACTTCCTGGAACCTAAAAATAAAAAAAAAGTTTATTATATCGAGTTTCATTTGATTAATTTGACGTCATCGAATCAAATTTCTGATAAGGAATTTATATGGAAACACGTCCTGGATAAAATTTTTTTCTTTTGGAAAATTTTACGATGGAAAAACATGGTTATGAAACCTTGTCGTTTTTGGTAAGGTGATAAGAATGGTAACTGGAATGATAACATTAATTGTAATAACATTTCAGGAAGTTTTTTTTTAGTAAAAAAAAAAAATTACCTTTTGTTCCATGACGAAAACATCACAGAGTGATGTTTCACAACATAATTTCATACAATCTTCTCTTCCGTTAACATCGGCTTCGTTTAAATATTTAGCACCCATGGCTCTTGAATCTTGGGTTCTTATTATTTTATCAATATGTATATCGAAATTTTCAATACAGGTTTCCGTACCCATATCAAATCTTTTCCTGTTTTCGAAACCATTTTCTCTATCCCCGACAGATTTTGCATTTGAAACAATTGAAAAAATTAATAGAATAACATTTAAATTTAACATTTTTCCTATTGGAAAATTCTTTTCCTTTTTTTTTTTTATTCGATTTTTACTTTTACTATTTTATGATAACATTTTTTTAATAGTCCGTCCGATTCGTTAACACTACAACTCGTATATTTTTCTTTTTCGCCCCTTCTCCCCCCCCACTTTAAATAGAAAAGGAATCAATACACGTCAGACTTGCGCAAAAAAAATTTTTTTTTTTTTTTCATTATCTTTTGATTTAAAAATTACATTTTAAGGTTTTTACCTTTTAATATTTTTTGCTTTTTATCTGGAAACTTTTTTCCTCCCGTTTTCCTCCCGTTTTTCTCACGTTTTTTTAGTTTTTCTCGATTAAAAATTAAAAAATTTAATAAAAAACAATTATTACGCTTCTTTTTTTTTTTGATGAAATTATTTCGTAATAATTGTTAAAAAATGTTTTTATTATTAATAATAAAAAAGTAAAAGTAGATCAAAAAAGTCGTTTATTAATTCAAAAAGAAAAAAGGGGAAAGTAACGGGGAAAGTTTTATTATAATATTAAATAGATCCTCATTAAATAAAATAAAAAAATTAATTAGTTTACCCGGTTAAATTGTTTAAAAATATCATTTTCGTCATGTCAAATTTTTTTTTTCTCAAGGCTTATAATAATAATAATAATAATTTCGTGAACAAGTTATTAAAAAAAATAATTAATTAATAAAAGAATTAATTTTTTTTGAAATGTGATGAACAGCATCCGCCACAATACAGTAGTATCTCAATTTAACAAAACGTATTGTTTAGAAATATAACAACAATCACGTGTCGGTACCTAACGGAAAATTTTCGTACTAAAACGATAAATAATAAAACGGTTTTTAAATTATTAAAACTTATTAAAGGGACCCCTTACTCTAGCGGATATTAACCGAACTAATTTTTTTCATTATGGAGCTTCCAATGTATTATATCCCCCCAGTTTTGTCAATTCAGTACGTTATTGGGTGCGTGTTTGCAGGTGTTGTTTGTTACAAGACATAATAATAATAAAAAAAAAAAAAAAAAGAAACAATTTGTTTTTCTTTCTTTCTTTCTTTTGTTGTTCATATTAATACATATCTTTGTATAATTATTATTATTATTATTATTATTATTAAACAATCGCGTATGAAACAAACGTTCGTAAATAATCTCGTACGTCATTAAATAAAAAAAAAAAAAAATTTATTTTTTAAACGAGGGTAATTAACAAAAGTGTACATTTATTCGTCTTATCAATCATATTTTTCTTTTACCACAAAAAGAAAAACAATTTTCCCCCATCATTATTATTATTATTATTATAAATAATAATAATAAAACGAGTGCTTGATAGTTAATAAATATCGGTAAGTTTTTATTTATTTATCATTTTACAAAAAAAAAAATAATTTTAACCCGTGAATACTTTTTTTAAAAAATAAAATAAAATTCGTGTGATAAGAGAAAGAAATAATAATGATAATAATAATAATAATAATAAAATAAAATCGTCGGAAAAGTTTTTAAAAAAATAATATTAAAAGTTCTGAGGTTTTGTCGCATTGCAATAAATTAAAATGTGACGTCAGAATTGTTGACGGTTAATTTTTAACAAATGAAATCAATTCCATTTGAAAGTTTAAAAATTTTAAATTTAAATTTAAATTTTTAAATTTATTACCGTAAACAATTTTTAATAAATTATTTTAATTAATTGAAAAAAAAATTATGATTCACTCGTAATCAACATTATAGTTAAATATAATTACGAATAAGGAAAAAATTACTCGGTAATTAAAAATTTTTTTCTCTTTAATACTCTTATTATTATTATTATTACCATCACTATTTATGGAATATGTTATTTTATTAAAATAATAATAATAATAATGAATTCGATGAAAATCTTTTTTTTCTTCTTTTTCTGTTTGTTAAAAAAAAAAAAAAAAGTTGGCAGATTATTTAGTTAAAGTCGGAAACAATAAATTAAAATGAATTATTTTAGTCGAGAGAGAAAAAGAGAGAGAGAGTGAGTGAGAGAGAGAGAGAGAGAGAGAGAGAGAGAGAGAAAGAGAGAGAATGCGTCTGGAAAAGGGGTAAACAAAATTTTTCCTTCTCCAAACTTTTTTTTTTCTTTCACAACAGGAAAATAATTTTTTTAAGAAGAAGAAAAACGAGAATTTATAATTATCGAGTGCAGTAAAGTAAAAAAAAATCGATCGATCGATCGATAGATCGATTGATCATATCGAATCGTTTTCGTAGTCGAACGAACATAAATAATTAATAAAATAATAATAATAATAATAATAATAATAATAATAATAATTGGTGTGAGTAAAACATTTATGTTATCGTATTTATTTTTCTTACGCAAAGTTTTTCTTTTTCCTTATAAAAAATTTTTCCAGTCAATCAATTTCAGTTTAAAACATTCGGAATCGATTTAACAACAATATGTGTTAGTTATTAAACAAACAAACAAACAAAACAACAACAACGCGATAGTAATTGAACAAATTAAAAAAAAAGCGAAACGACGAAATTAAGTTTTTTTTTAAAAATGTTTACGATTAGTTACCAGATCGATAATAAATAAAAACATTTTTTTTCAAACAAAAATGTTTTTGCTAAACATAACGAACATTAACAAACATACAAACATACAAACATTAATGATAACGATGTGTTTAAGTAAAAAAAAAAAAAAACATTTAAATTGAGTGTGGGTAGTACTCATACACAAACACACACACATGAAACGAACGTTTTTTTTTTTTTTTTGCGAAAGGTATAAATCAAAAAGTAAATTTGAATCGGATGATGATGACGATGATGATAATGATGATGATGATGATGATGACTACGTACTACCTGGTTATTTAACACTCAGTGACTCAGATCATATTCTAAAACCTAAATAGCAATAATAAAAAAAATGAGTTTTCTGATTAGTCACCGTTTTAGTTTTTAGATTTCTTTCTTTCTTTCTTTTTTTTTTTCGCACGTGAACAATTTATTAATAAATAATCTATGTATATGTATTCGATAATAATAATAATAAACTTATCAAACGTGCCATTATTATTATTATTATTAATATCTTCTCACAATTAAACCGTTTTAACAAAAAAAAAAAAATTACTAATATTATCGATAATATTTATTTCTTAATCCGATAATAATTAATTAATAATAATAATAATAATTCTTCGGGATAAAATAATAATAATTCTTCGGGATAAAATAATAATAATAATGATGAGGATGATGATGATGATGATGCAAAAGGGGCAAAATTCAAATTAGTTTTATTCATTTACTCAATGAAATTAATTCTCATCCAAACAAACAAACAAGTTCAAAAACAAAAAAAAAAAAATTATTTTAGGTTAGTTACCTTCAGACCGTGACTCCCATGACCGGTTCACGATCGAATAAGGTACCTTACGGAACTAATGTTGTTGTTGTTGTTCGTTGTTTGTTGTTTGTTGTTGTTTTTTTCTCTCAAGCTTCGCAAAAAAAAAAAAAAAAAAACTCGAAGCGTTTTAAAATTTTCTCCTTTCCATTCATCAATGATCAAAGTGTGTTATTTAATTATTTATTTATTAAAATTCTTTGTTATTATTTTTATTTTTTGTTTTTATCATTAATTTAATGTTTTATCATAGTCGTCGTCCATATTGGGAATGATAAAATTATTATTTAAATGTCAAATCGAAACAAACACGCGCGCGCGTTAAAAATTATTTTTCAATAAATGACGTCACTTGAATCGACTTTTTGTATAATATTTAAGTTTTTAATTATAAATTATGTTTTATGCGTGGAACGATAACAACATAATGTTGTTGGGGGGGGTGAGGGGTGGGGAGGTACCCACACACACACAAACAAAAACTTTTACGTTAAATTTTATTTTGAAAAACGACAGTTATGCGAATATAAACAAAAAAGTTTTGAAGAATTCGTTACGTAATTAATTAATTAATTAATATCACACCGCGAGGTATAAATATTTAAGTAATAATAATAATAATAATAATAATAATGATAATAATTTAAAATTATAAACTTTAAACTTTGAAATTTAGGAACGTAAAAACAAAAGAGAACCGATACGCGATTGTTCTTTGTTTCCAGTCGATTGAAAAAAAAAAAAAAAAAGTCACAATTTATGAAAACGTAACCTACGACCCTAAAAAATTTAACCGATGCGTAACTTTGACCTTTATTTTTTTATATAAAAAAAAAATATCGAATATCGTGACCGAATGAGTCGTTTAAAAAAAGAAAAAAAATTTTTTGTTTTGTTTTTTAAAATTTCTCACAGGTTTTTTTAAAAAAAAAAATAACCGGATGTACTATTGAATTAAAAAAAAAAAAATTTATTAAAATGAATTGTTAAGCAAATTTAAATATTATAAAAAAAAAGAAGATAATTCCATTGTCAAAAAATTAATAATATCACCGACAATAGGACATGTTAAAAAAAACAAGGGTAAAACAATAGAATAAGATTTTTTTAGAAAAAAAAAAAAAAACAAGTGGAGCTTGACTAATAAGCAAATTAGAGTGGAAACGTCCGCTTTCCAAAGGTTTTTAAACTTTAATGCCAATGTTTCTATTTTTTTTTTTTAACAAAAAAGAAATTTTTTTTAAATTTAAAAACGTTAGTGAAACTCTAAAAAAAAAGAAAAATTTAACGGAATATGAATAACATGTTCTCATCCCTTCACTTTAAAATTAATAATAATAATAATAATGTTGGGGGGGTATAAAGTTTTAGCTAAAAAAATTTTTCACAAACGATCACGGATACGGTCACGTTCGTTTTTAACACATTCACGATTCAAATATAAACACAATGATCAATAAGAGAGAGAGAAAGAGAGAGAAAAGAAAATTTGTGAAATTATTTTTTTTTTGTTTTTTTTCAGACGAGTACCAAATATAAAAAAATGGAGTGTGGCGTGACTGCGACGTCTCGCCTCGCTAACGGCAATGGTATCCTTTCTGATTCCATCCGTAGCGAGGGTAGCCCCGCAAAAGCTGGTTTGCATGTTAATTTCATTGAGAAGACTGACGTGAAAGAAAAAAGAGAAAAATTTTTAACGGCTAAATACGGAAGCCATCAAATGGGTCTAATTAGAAAAAGATTAGCCGTTGAAATGTGGCTTTATGATGAATTACAAAAGCTTTTTGAATCCCCCGTGGTAAGTCTAAACATTTTTATTTTTTTATTTAAAGAGGTTATCATTTTGTTGACATTATTTATTTATTGATATTTTTGTCCCCTCCAAAAAAAAGAAAAAACCTCATTTTAAATTCGAATTAAATTTTTTTTTCTCCTATTTCCGGTTATTTATTAATTTCCTTCCGGGTATTTTCCTCTTGTTTAGTTAAAATTACGGCAAAAAAACATGAAACAATTTAAAACATTTTTTTTTTTAAAAAAAACAGTTGTTGCTGTTGTTGTTTTTGTTTTTGAAGAAACAAAGTAATAATTAATGATAATAATAATAATAATATTAATCGGTGGTAAATTTTCGTGATTAAAAGTAATAAAATCTATTTTTATAAAAAAAAGAAAGTTTGATCGTAGTACATTCACGGTCGTGAATTTTCCTTTTTTTTTTTTTTTTTTTTTTGATAATTCATCAGTAAATTACTTCAATAAAAATTAAATAGCGTAATAATTTGTGCGTATGTGTGCGTGTACGAATGCGTGAGTGTGCGTAAAGTTCGTTCAAAGGTTTACTATTAAAAAAAAATGTAATTTTTTAAAAAAAAAACACGAATTTTGTATTCCGATCTCGAAAAATGAAAGCTGGTGCCGCGTAAAAGAAAAAAAAAATTTTTTTATTACTGGTAATAAGTTACGTGACATCGGACAAATAAATAGTATTATTATTATTATTATTATTATTATTATTATTATTATTATTATTATTATTATTATTATTATTATTATTATTATTTAGGTCACCTAATTTTATTTATTCCCTTATGAAAAGAAAATATTTTAGCTTTATAAATTTCACTTACTCGAATAAAAATAAAAATATAAACCTACGCAATTATAAATTTCTTTTTTATTTTTGGGGGGGTCATAAAAAAATGAAACAAATTTTTTTTTCGAGGGGGGGAGAAAGAAGAGAAGGGGGATAACTTCGAGGAAAAGGAAAATTTCTTTTAATTTTACGAGTTTTCCAAGTAATATATGTATAAACACAACGCTCACCGATAAATTTTCAATAATTTTTTTCTTATTTTTTTTTTAAAAACAAATTTTTTACAAGTAAACAAGTTGGTAAACTTTATAAAAAAAAAGCTTTTTTTTTGAAAATTTCGGTAAAATTTATCGCGTAATAATAATAATAACAATACGAATTCGATTATGATAAATTTTACGTATAAGAAAAACATGTAAACAAACAAAGAAACAAACGTTCCCTTTATTTATTTATATATATATATATATATATATATATATATATATATATATATATATATATATATATATATATATATATATATATATAATTATTATTATTATTATTATTACTATTATCATCATTGGTATGGAAAATGTAAAATTTTTCACGTTCCGCGACACTGCCGAAACAAAAACAATAATAATAAATAACATTTTCTTTTGTGTGACATTTAATTAATGAAAAGTATTAAAAAAAAATGGCCGA